ACAAAGGTCGGATAATGTAATGCTTCGTTTATGTAACTACATGACGTTTGGCGGTCACTTTAAATTTTGTCTGGCTTCTGTACGTGGGGGCTGGTCTTCGTCTTCGGAATACATGTATTCAGCCGCACCTGTGCCTTCTTCCACCCTCTGGGAAGCCTGGGAACGCTACAGACAAGTCTTAAAAGCGACCGCCGAATGTCAAGTAATCACATAAACAAGGCATTGCATACTTAGCCATCAACATCAGACATAAGATTAGTAGAGTTTCTAAAATAGTTCTTAAAAAGGGTCATAAATGTTCAGCAAGCATTAAATTTGTGGGGTTGTCATCAACTCGTGGTGCCTCAATCATTTTTTAAATGTTTAAGCAAGTAGGAAGATAGTGGTATGCTCACTTTACTGCACGTGGAAATGTCGGCCACTTAGGGGACGGTGACAAAGCCGTACTTCCACGCTTTATGGCTGACTATTAGTATTAGTATTAGTATTCGGCCAAGTCTCTCATTTTATATAGCCAAACTTTGAGTCTAGAGATCTCTTGGATTTCTTTCATTTTCGAAGCAATACTTTATTTTCGACGAATTTTAAGGAGTTTTTTAGCTTTATATCAGCTGATTTGGTACGTCATTAGTTTAGCCCTTGGTTCAAAATCTCGATTAAAGAAAATTAATTTTCAAGAATTAAAAATTAGTGGTCCCCAAAACCAATAAACTTACGACTTGCACATGCGTGACACCAGCTTAGTTTCGTATGCCTTCTAGGCTGAGCCGCCCTTTTCAAACCGGCCCAAACAATGATATGCAGTGAGGATCAACTGTAAATTTCACAATTTCTCTGTAATGCTTAACCTAGGTCATCGAATTTGGATAAACCTAGGAGTTTTGAGTCAAATGTTTACGTCTTAACATCCACAGACGATGTCGTCCTCTATGGCAACTCTCCCGATGCTCGATTTTGGCTAAAGACCATCAGGCTGGAACAATGCGACCGAAATGACCTGGCTTCCCTTCTTGGCT